TGAAATGTTTGATGTGGTTAAGCAAGTGAAAAAGCAACTGCTGACGTCTCCCACTTTCACCTTAAAATGTATTAAAGTTGACTGTGTGATATTTCAATTGAAGTGTCATGAAAAATAGCCAAAATATGCCTACCCATATACAAGTGATACAAACGTGTGTGTGTTTCTGTATGTGTGTGTGTTAGAAGGATACAAAGTTGGAAATTAATGGACTTCTTATAAATTATTTGTTTGAATTATTTTATTTCTAAAATGGGGAGAATATCTGGTTTCAAAGATTCTGTAGTATAAAACAAATAGAATAGCTATCTATAACATATTAAAAATGAATTATATGTCCTAAATATGTTGTATTGATATTGAATGATAATATTTACTAAGTTAGAAATTTTGGAACACTTGTGTCAGAAAAGATAAGATAATCTTTCGAAACTGACCTTTTCTGTGTGTTTAAACCAATACCCTGGAAAAATAACTCCTTTCAATGATATAGTAGGTTGACATTAACTCCCCATATGCAAGCGCCCTCTATCATTTACTAAAAGGTAACATGTTTTAAAAACTCTACTACCTTTTAACTGTGATGCCAAAATAAACAGGAATCCAGAATATTCAAGTGCTGAATAGTTTTTAACATTCCTTAAAGCTTTGAGCAAGTATTAATCCATGCAGGGACGTTTCATATACAACTCAGCTCAATAGGATGAATCAATCAAAACACAACACCTGCTGCACAGTAAGCTGGACTGGCTTCTTTCTATCATGTGGACAGTATAGTGTTCACTTGTCAAGGAATTGAGATCCATGCTACTAGTTTAAGAAAAGGGTTGTTGGTGGGATTTTGTTTGTTTGTTTATTTAAAAGATTTACAGTCTTTACCTCATAGAAATCAAGAATTGAAACTAGTACAGCCAGACTTCATGGGGAACATAATAGGATATTAGGTCTTTTTTCTGTCTCTCTTGGGGTCCGCATGGTTGCCTCCCTAACACTTTCCTTAATTTCTTTCTGTTCTTTACAGAGGGAAGAGCGATTCCTAAAAATTTAAGTATGATGCAATTTTCCAGTAACCCTCTAGTGGCTTCCTATCTGTCTATGTAAAAGCCAAAGTCCTCACACAGGTTCATAAGCCCTATATGATCATTTCACTCAGCCCATATCTGACCTATGCCTTATCATTTGCTCTTTTGCTCCCACTGTGCCAGCCACATTTTCCACCTTGCTCTTCCTTCAAATTAAAAAGAACATACATATCTTAGGACACTTGAAGCTGCTATGCACTCTGCCCGGAACATCCTTCCACAAATATTAGCTGGCACCTTCACTGTATTTATGTTTCTGTTCAAAGGACATATAGTCATGTAGGCATTCTTGACCATGCTATCCCAAGTAGTAATTCCCTCATTACTCTTGAACTGCATAACTTGTTTATTCCTACAGTTTATCTACCTGATAACATATAATTTATTAACTTGTGCTAATCTACCACCTCCTACAACAATAAGTTTTATTACAACAGGGACTTTAATTCATTGTGGTATCATTGCCACCCAAAACAGTGCCCAGTACATAATAGGAACTACATATGAATGTTTTGGAGGTTGAATTAAATGAATGACTATTACTTCTAATCTCTACTTCCTTTTGCGTCTCTTTTTTTTCCTGCTAAATAGTTCTTTTTTATATTAGCTAGCAGTCAGTTCAGTTATTTCACGACCTTTAATTTACAATGTTCTCTAGCAACTGATAACTTCTTTTTTCTGTTAGTTCAAATTCCTGAAAATCTAACTGGACAGGTTAATTTTTTTTTTCAGTAAGGCCACACAGACCACAAATTTCTGGACAATCTCTAGTTGTATTATTTTCAGTCAGGTATATACACTTATCTAATAAAGCTGAGCCACCTCAGAACATGGCTGTGAAGGCATGAGGGCCTGTGGGAAGACATCCAGGCAACATAAATATGTCTAACACATAAAACTGTTGCAGCTTCATCTGCACCAATGTTCTTCACTGTCCCAAGTCCTACTCATAAGTCTGATATAATTCCTCAATTCACTCCATTGATCTTTTACTTCCATGTTTCTTCTTCATCAGATGACTCCTCCAGGCTTCTTGTTGTTCTTGTTACACTTCTTTCATCACAGATATAACTATGCATTTATAGTTCTCCTATGATAAATAAATTCATGCTCTGCTTGACCCTAAAGACCACAAAATGACCCCATACTGTCACTTCCCCAAGTCTACCCCAATTAACTTTGGAATGGTAAGCAAGAAATATCAAGTGCCTTTACATAGATCCTGTTGTGGACACACCCTAAGGTGACCCCCAATGGGTCATGCCCTTGCCTAATCCCCTGTTGTTTTGTGTGGATGGAACCTGGTACTTCCTTCTACTCAATAAAATATGGCAAAAGGGAAATAATTATACAGAAGTAATTCAACTCCCTAATCAGATGATTCTGAGTTAACCAAAAGAGAGGTTGTTTGGGGTGGTCCTAGCTTAATCAGGTGAAATTTCTTAAAAGAGAGATTGGTAACCTCCTGAAAATGAAGATACATTTTCCTGATATCCTTGAAGAAGCAAGCAACCATGGGTTCTACAACCATAGAGAAATAAATACTTCAACAACCTGACTAAATTTGGAAATAAATTATTCCGTCAAGCCTCTGGATAAGAATGCAGCCCAATTGGCCTCTTGATCATAGTCTCATAAGACATTGAGCAGAGGACTCAGCCATGTCTGGACTGCTGACCTGCAGAAACCACGATTTAATAAATGTATTTTGTTTTAGTCCACTAAATTTTTGGTAATTTGTTATACAGTAATAGTAATCTAATACAGATCCTCATTCTAGTTTATGGAAAGAGACAAACATTAAGAACCCCCTATTATTTTATTTCTTTAGACCTCGCGGTGTGACTCTGTCTTAAACTTTTTCTTTTCTTGAGTTACACATATTAAATTATGGAAACTGAAATAATATCCTTTACTTCCTTAGTATCTTTCTATTTTGGGATTTATTCCTTTACTATATTTTCCCTGTTCTCAGTGTTTTAAAACTAAGTGTAGACCTTTCAGAAAACAACATGTGACCATAATACTTTTCTTCCTCCCTTAACCACATAATCATCTCTTCTGCATGCAGCATCAGCTCCTATCATTTTCAGCTCTTGGTTCTGACGAGCATAGCCCCAGTGTCTTTGACTATGAGATTCATATGTTCACTCCTCTCATTAATGTCTCACTTTTTTCTGCTTATACATGTAAATATTTAATTTACTTAATTTTTTCAGTAAAGTTATTCTTAATTTTTTAAATATTTACTTAAACAATGATTAATATTTACTTGATATTTTGTAAAAAATGAGAATATTTACTTAAACAATGATTTTGTAAGGTCAAGATGTTTATGTGTGAAAATTTATCCCTGATTTATCTACATGTTACATCTGAATGTTCATGTAAATTTTATTTGGTTAGACACATCTATATGTAGTCACTGTATATTTGTTTATTATTTATATGTTTCCAAGTGCTATTTATTCTGCTTGTTATCTTGAACTATACATTTGAAGTCTGGACTTTCTAAGAAGTCTATAACTATCCTTCAGCATAGAAGTCATGCCATTTAAGAGTCAGTTATTTAATAAATAGTTTTCAAGTTCCACAGTGCTAAAAGCCAAAGGTATAGAGACACGAAGAATTAACATTCCTTTTAATCTCATCTAAAAACAGAACATCTGTTTTCAGACCTTTAACAAACTCACAAAAAATTACAGTATAAATATTTGGTATATACTGTCTGTATTTAAAATAAAAATTTTACTTTTCTTCAGAATATGTCTAGTGGTATGCACTTGAAAAAACAGTATGTTCATTTATTATACAAATGGGAATAAACACTTGAGATGAAATACTGATGAAGGAAACTTCTTCTATGTTTATTCTGCCAGACATTCTCAAAAACTGATTTGAGAATGAGGTGATTAAGAATTTCTGTTTCCCAAGGGGACCTCACAGAGTACATAATCAATCTCTGGTTCACATTTCCCTGAAAACAAGAACAACAACAACAAAAACCACTCTATATAAGATTCTGATTAAATAATTTTAAAGTGAATTTTTTATTTTTAAAAAGTGAAATTCAAAATCATGATGCAGTGATAGAAGTCGGAATCAGGGCAGGGGTGGGGTTCACTCACCTGCAGGGAATGATGAAATATTTAATGATTATATTTCTAAATGCATATCGCGGTAGACAAGCCCTAAAATGTTCTACTCAATTAATTAAGCTTATATCTCATCCAGGTATACCAAATTATTCTCTTTAAGGGAAAGAAGCTTATGGAGATTAATAGTGGGAAATTAATTGAAAGAACTGTTTTTTGAAATATTAAAGTCATATGAACACCTGATCACATGAAGTATAGCTGAAACTGCTTTTCCTTGTTATCATACTGAAGTCAGTGTAATGCATTGATAAGAAGCAGACCGAACATTTCCAGATGTAAGGTTCATAATTTTTCAAAATAGCAGAGCATGTTGGATTGCGTTAATTCAGAGGGATAGATTTCTCTTTTGGAAAGCTGCCTTTGAGTTAAATACACAAATCCTGAAACTTCTGAAAGCAGTCAGTGTTAATTATCTTCCTTTGAGATGAGTCACCGACAAGCAGAAAATTTGCCATCTAGTGGTGTTTGTATGTACGTGAAATCTATTTTTTTATTTTATTGTGAAGTATGAAAGACAGAGAATATTCATAGGCAACAGAATGAGATCTTCCTGCAATTTTCTCTTTTTTTAATCCACAGGAATGTGTAAATAAAACCGTTTGATTATTTAACAAGAGAAAAAAACATTTGGTTATTTAACAGAATTTTCTGACATCCTTGTTCCACCCAGTTGTTATAAATTTGCTGCAGCTGCTTCGTAACGCCTCCAGATGGCGCGCTGGTGCCCGTTCTCGCCTCCCAGCGACCAGCCCGTTGCCAGCTGCTGGGGAGAATGAGCTTGGAGCCGCAGGGCTTAATCCCGCGCGGCTCAGAGATGGGTTTCTGGACTCGCGAAGCAGCTGCAACAAGGCATCACTCATTGTACAAGTATTTCCATTTCTGAGAGCAAAAGGAAGAACTTAAGCGGGCGGCACTTGGAGTGTAAATTGCTTTGTAGTATTTAAAGGCAGAATGGATCCTGGGCAGCCGAGCTGGTACGTGCAACAGAAACTACTCAATGGAATTGTTCTGGGTAGGACTGGTCTGATCGTCCTTTGTGTACCAAACGTTGTGTGTCCTGGATTGCGCCTATGTGTATACACCCATTTCATTTTCACCAGGATCATGGGGACTTGGGAGTCATAATCTTTCATTTTTCCAAAATGATATAATAAAAGCTTTACAGAACATTGTTTATTAATAGAAGCGTGACCCGAGTCACAGTCTTTAGAAACACAGGATAATGGTATAAAAATACTTTTCTTTTATGTTTCTTTTTTAGAGAAAAAGAAAGTAAACGTAACCTGTATCACTGTGCAGTGTTACTGGATATGACTTAAAAGACAATGGCAAAAAATGTTTGACTGCCGTGGAGTAGACTTTTACCTGTAGGTGTAGACTTAAGCACACCTGTAATATATCAGTGTTTTCAAATCTGTGTGCCAGAAAAAAACATTGTGTAGCTATAAAAACACTAGTTATGAAAAATGCATGTCACGAATGTGTACATTTTGTATGGTCTAATACGTTTTGTGAATGTGTGTTGTGTATACGCACACAATAACATGTATATGTGACCTAGATGCAGAATTATTATCGTATGGTTACAAATAGGCATGTGCTGAACATAGATTAATTTCTGAACCTTCATACACTGTATGTCTGTCTGGATAACTTAGTATGGAGATTATCTATTGCCACAATATTAAATATGAATTAAAAACAATATTTTGTTTTCACTGTTACACTTTAAATTTGTTGAATTCTATTCAGTTGTGCATTGAGTTTTCTATGCTTTTAAATTCTGAGGAAAGGCTGGTGTTTATATTTTGAACATAAATTATTGGCTGAGATGATTATGTGGAGATAGGATTCATAGACATATAAACATAGGTTCCCTAAAGTTCAGGTTATATGTGGAATTCACAAGAGTTAACAGTTTTGAAAACTCGAGAGTTCTGACCAAGAGTTTACATTAGAAACAAGAAAATTGAAAGATTCAGAACTAAGTTGGATATTATCAAGGCTGAGGGTGTACGTTTAGTAATATTACTCTAAGATTAATGTTAGACTACTTATAAACTTGTATAGATTCCATTGAACAGATGTTGTTCATGAACCAGTGACTGAATTTTATCTTCTATCATTGCACATAAGCAAATATAACACGATTCAATACAAGAAATATGACTTGCAAGTGAACTAGGTAAGGTAGCATGCTAAATAAAGCCTAATATACTGAGAAAAGTTAGAAACTATAGAGTCCCTGCCCTCAAAGAGTTGCCATTTCAAATGACTAGGTTAGGCATGTTCATGAATACGAGTACACAGTAAAAGATAAAATAAATGCTATTAAAGTGAGACATGCACAGGTGTGTAGCATTTAAATTGAGGGAGAAATCTAACTTAGGGGCATTAGTAAGGCCTTCAGATTGGAGAGCCCCCTTCTAAAGAGATGGATTAAAAGAACAATTTTTGTAGGTGTGAAGAGGTTCTGGGCAAGAGATGTATTCGGGTCAGACATGTGGTTTGGGTTGGCTATGGCTTTCTTTATTGGTCTCAGAGGTAAGGAGTAAGAGATAGATAATATTATGCAAATAGGCTGTGTAATATTGAAGATGATCTTGAACATGGGACTGAAATTTGTGGATTTCATCATCAGTTCATTCCCAGTGCCACTAACAATGTAGGCATTCAGTATTCTTAAAACATTGAATGTTCTGTGTAACAGCAAGAGCCAGCAGAAAGTTTTAGGATATTTGTATGGTTTATGTATTGCATGTCTACCATATTAGAATGTAAGTTTCAAGACATAGCACTCTTTTTCAGTATTATATCCTCAGAGCCTAGAAAGTACTTGAAAAAATATTTATCTACTGAATGAATTAATGACTAGTAAAATTGGAATATAGTCAGGGTTCTATATCATTCACATTTAGTTTTCCTGATGGTCTTAAATTACTAAAATCCTCAAAATTTACCAAGTCTTTGAAGCTATTGTATCAGCCGATTCCACTTATGGCTCAGGTACTTCTAAGCAAGTTCCCTGGAATTCCACTATTAGTGTTTAATCTTACTCTATTTTTAACCTCTTTTATGAATAGTCTTGCCTTTACATTTTTAAAACAGTTATTAAGATAATTATAAACCGTGTGATTATTCAGGCAGAATTAAACAGTTCCTCTTCATATCCCTATAGTAGACATAGTGAGTATATAACACACATTAAACAAATACATTCAGGAAAAGAGTTGAGGGTTTGAAGAGTGTCTTTGCTCCCTGTAACATATGTTTACCTCCTGATTAGAACACTTCTAATATTTGGTTCTCTGCAACTTGATTTAGGTGAAACTCTCTAGAGCCTCTTTATAATTTCGTATATGCAGAGTGATCATTTGGGAAATCCTTAGCTATTTGCTTACATAGTATTTGGGGACACTGTGCTAGTTTCTAGGGGTCACAGCCCCTGTCCCTCCAACAGCAGTGGTCGTCTTTTTTGTGCCTGTGTACTGATATCTATACTTTTTATGGACAATGACAGGAATTTGTGGAGAAACTAGTGAAGAAAAAAGTTTTTGTCATTTGAAGGGGTGATACTGGGTGAAAAGATACAATCATTTTAAAGGAATTTATAAATGTGATTTGCCCAACTAAATTGTAAATGAATGCACAATGACTTGTAAATAGAAGGGCCGAATAAACAATGTCACTGAACCAACAACTTCAAAAATAAAACCCCTGGAGTTTCCCCTGATCCTCGAGAGAGAGCTTTCCGCTGTGATAACGATTTATATATCTTAATTTACTTGTATATCACTCATCTAAAAATACACTAAAGTGGAATTTCTCACTTTAAAAATATATATCGATGGGGTTTATGTGTCAGTTCAACTGAGGATGCAAGCTTTTAGCTTCAGCTTGAGCTAATCTGTGCGAAGTCAGGCTTTTTCTCCCAACAGTGTCAATAAGACAAATTTCCACACTAGCCTGGTCTCCATCCTGCTGGACTTGCTGGTAATGCTTTATTTTTATCCCTGTGAGAGGAGGTAGTATGGCATGGTGGCTGGCCCAAGACTTTCACCTTATTCAAAACCCTAGTGTGTGGCTTGACCTGGAGATTAATCTTTCCCTAATAGATTAATCTATTAGAAAAAGAATACCTTGTCTAAATACTGCTGGGCATTCAGTTTTGGAGAAATATACTGCAGTGTGTACTGCAGGTTTTTCCCCCTAGTGGTTGACTTAAGGCTGTTGTATTAAAACAATAGAAATAGACTTCGTATACGGAGCTGGCTTGGTCAATATTGTCTAACTTATGTTTTTAAAAACTTATTTCAGAAGAAATGGTTATTTCTTCTGAATGATCACTGTTAAATGATCATTTTGAAAGATACAAATACAATGCCCTGAACAACATGCTTTTGTGTCTTCTTTGGAAGGCTGGACATACAAAATTATGCAAAAACAAAATATATACAATTAATGGAAGTGTTTCTGCTACTAGATTCATACTGTACTCCTTTTTCTGGGTGTAGTGGAAAGATCTCCCTCTGTGTATTCTAATGTCACTATTTTTTATCAACGGTGACACTGAATCAGTTTAACATGATTTTTCTTTAGCCTGTGTGACCATACTGTAAATTCCTTAAAGGCAGGAAACAAATTCTATGTTTTCTTTGAATCTCTGTATTATACAAAACATACTGCAAGCCACAAAGCACTTAAGTTTATATATATATATATATATATATATATATATATATATATATATTTTTAAGTAGGGTCTCACTCTGTCACCCAGGCTAGAGTGCAGTGGCACAATCATGGCTCACTGCAACCTCAACCTCCTGGACTCAGGTGATCCTCCCACCTTAGCCTCCAGAGTAGCTGGGACTGCAGGTGCACACCAACATGCCCAGCTAATTTTTGTAATTTTTGTAGAAATAGGGTTTTGCTATGTTGTCCAGACTGGTGTAGAACTCCTGGGCTCAAGCAATCTGCCTGTCTCAGCCTCTCAAAGTGCTGGGATTAGAGGTGTGAGCTCCCTCCTGGATCCTGCCATTTTTTTTTTTGACAATTGAGTAAAGATTAAATTATAATTTTTTCACACTAATTAAAATAGTAGATATAGTCATATAATAGCAACTTCTAAGGGACAAAATGGAAATCTTTCTAGTGGTTCTATATACCAAGAATGTTATACCTGACACATCACAGCAGAAAGAGAAAGCTCCTTCTCCTTAATTAGCTGTTAGAAATGAAACGTCTTTTTAAAAATATTATTTGAAATGTGGAGATATCTATAAAGACACAAAACTTGCCTTTACTTGGTAGAGCTATTTACGTCTGAAATAACTATCTTCTAGCATACCTGTGTCTCTAGGGTGTTGTATAACTGCAGGTGGAATATTCCAAAGTTAGAACTACTAAAAGAACAAATCAGAAGAGTTCCTAGCAGTAAGAATTAACCTTAAGGAAGCTTAGACACGTTTATATGCTTTAGAGCTGTTCCTGGGGAAAAAAATCATGCATTTTTTATAATGAGCGTATTTATAAGCATACCCCCACCTGCCACCAAGATGTATAAAAATGAGTTAGTAGCTGCAAACTGCTATTTTAGCAAGTGCTAGAGGAAAATAACAAAGGATCTGTGGCTGTATTGTTAACAGGAGTGAAGAAGCTTCTCTTGTGTCTCTGGACCAAAGGCTAACAGAAGAGCTTTTGGTTACTAAGATGTATTCTTTCCTGGTCTCAGGCTCATTAACGATGGAAGTAGGAGGGAGAGCATATAAAGCGGCAGCTGCAGCTGTGGGCACTCAGATCATTTGTCACCTGGCATGAAGTTAGTGTTGGCAGCTCTGGAGCTCCAGCACAGAGCACCAGGGAGCAAATGCCAACTGATTGTTGTTCCTCACCAGCTTGCTGGCTAACTCCTACTCATTCTTCAGATCTCTGCTGAAGTGTTGCTTCATCCAGGTAGCTTTGCCTGACCTCT